CCTCCCCTCCCCTCCCACCCCTGGTAACCAACAAAGAAAATTTCCTTCAATAGATAAACCTTTCCTTAACTTTTACGATAACGGACTAAAACAATATTTGTCCTTTTGTGATTGACTTATTTCAACTCAGCATAATGTCCTCCAAGTTCATCCACATTATGCAGTGTTTTGCAGATTCTACATTATTCTTGTAAAAATTCTTAATAAGTCTTAGGAATAGAAGATAACTCCCTCAGCCTGACAAAGGGCATCTATGAAAAACTTGTAGCTAACATCATAGTTAATGGTAAAAGACTGAGTGCTTTCTCCCTGACTTCAGGAACAAGACAAAGATGTCCACTCTCACCACATCTGTTCAACATTTTATTGCAGTACCTAGCCAGGACAACAAGGCAAGAAAACCAATTTGTTTTGTAAACTTTCACCCAAATCACAATAAAAAGTGATGACAATAAATAGAAAACAAAAATTAGAAAGATAGACGTAAAATCTGTTGGATATAGGGTGACCATTTACACAAGGTGGATACACTCCTTAGAACAAGCAATCATGGGAGAACAGAAGGGCAGTATTTGCACAGGAGATAGCTCAGGGTACAGGAATGCATAGGAAAGAAGGACACAGGGAAGAGGCACCTACCTACAGGAAGGAAGTAGGAAGAGAGCTGTTACATTGTGGGGATTGCAGTCAATGTCATGAAACAAAATGTGTATGAACTGCTATATGGGAAATGAATATGCTCTGGAAATTTTCACCCAAATCACAATAAAATTTTTTTTTTAAAGTGAAACCTGTTGCCAATCTTGGGTAATATGTTTGTTTACATACAGAAGACCAAAGAATCAACAAAAACTACTGTAATTAACAATAGGTTAAGCAAGTTACCAGAATACAAGATCAATTTATGAAATTGTATTTCTATTTATTAACAGAAAACAAGGAAAAAAAACAGTGGAAATTTACTAATAACACCAAGTTAACACAATTGGAACTCATACATAACTGGTAGAAGTATAAAATGGTGCAACCACTTTGGAGAACTGTATGGCAGTTCCATAAAAGTTAAACAAATACATACCTTTTGGCCCAGCAATTCCACTCCTAGGTATTTACACCCTCTTGCAAATGACAGTATATATCCACATGAACGCATGTATAAAAATATTCATAGCAGCTTTATTTATTATAGACAAAAAATTGGAAATCAGATGTCCATCAACAGAATGAATAAGCAAATTGGATTATATAATGAAATCTTTATGAATTGAACTATGTTCCCACAAAACACGTGCTATTAATCCTAACCTGTGTCTATGATTATAATCCAATTCAGGAATGTTAAATTAATGAGACAGGATTAATGTAGAGTGTATCTTGAGTCAATCTCTTTTGAGATATAAAAGAGATTAAAAGTAAGCTAGCAAGCAAAGATGGGGAAAAAGCGATGCCAAGCCACATGAAGATCACTCAGGAGCAGAAGCTCAGAAGAGACAAGGACCTTTCTCCAGAGCTGAGGGAGAGAAAGCCTTCCCCTAGAGCAAGCACCCTGATTTCAGACTGCTAGCCTCCTAAAAGGCACTTGACTGCTAACCAGAAGGCTGGTGGTTCAAACCCACCAGCCACTCCTCAGAAGAATATCTGGAAGGGCAATCCACTTCCATAGTGATACTGCCTCGGGAACCCAAGGAGGGGTCGCTATGAGTCAGGTTCGACTTGACGGCACGTAACAACAACAACACAACAGCCTCCTAAAATGAGAAAATAAATTTGTTTGTTAAAGCTACCCACTTGTGGTATGGTATTTCTGTTGTAGAGGCTGTAGATAACTAAGACAGGAATACTACTCAGCAAATAAAATGAATGACCTTGAGTTACTGATACTTTCAAGATGACTCAAATACTAAGTTGAATGAAAGAAGTCAGATACAAACAGTATGCACTGTATCATTCCATTTACATAATGGTCAAAAAAGCAACACTAATCTGTGATTTGAAAAAAACAAAACAGTTGTTGCCTCTGTAGAGGAGAGGTATTGACTGGGAAGGGACGTGAAAGAACTATTTGGAGCAAACAAATATTGAGTGCCTACTTTGTGCTAAGCAACTATGCTAGATACTGAGATACACCAGTGAAGAGAACCACTTTAACAGTTATTCTCAACCCTGAGTCTCAGAATTGCCTATGAAGCCTTAAAACATTAAGTGTTACTGGGGGTCAGCATGGAAAACACTAATAATTAGGTCCAGAGTTCATGCAGGAAGTTAGGGTGTCTGTTCCTGTGACATCATCTTCACAGAAGATTCTAATCAGGAATTGTTGAGAATCTTTGCCCAATACTGTACTGTAAGAGCAGAAATTCTGTCTATCGTGTTCCCCACCATATCCCTAGAACCTGGCACATAATACGTGCTCAGCAAATATTTGTTGAATGAATTAGTGAAAGAAAAAGACATTACCACTGTTACAAAGTCGTCTGTCAGAGTATTAAATGAAATTATGTCATAATATTGACAATGCTTGCCATATAGCAGATGCATAGTCAGTGTTTATGTAATGACTTCTTTAATCCACATGTCTAGCCTCAATCACTGATGTCTCTTCTAATCTTGAGAGAAAATTAATATAATTTGTATGATCACAATTCATTGCATACAGAACTTTTAGAAGTTCCAGCATCACCTCAGAGGTGACATTTCCAAGCATGAAACCATTTCCCCCTCCTTTTTGCTCTTCAATGTAGTTCTGTCTTCCAACTATATATTTTTTTTGTTACTGACACCATCTATCTTCCATTTGCTCAAGCTAGAACCTTTGCAGTCATTTTTGATTCTTTTCTGTGTACAGTAGATTCAGAAGTGCTCTTTTTTTTTCTTTTGAGCCACATTTGGTGCTTGATGCTGAATCTCTAAAATGGCCATGAGGCAATAGTCTGTAGTGGCTAAAAACACAGACTAATGTCAAACTTGGGATTAGATTCTAGCTGTGTCATTTACTGACACAGTGACCTTGTCTGTGTCCTTATCTATAAACAATGGTAGGGTTATTGTGAGATATTACTGATTTTATAACAGTGCCTGACATATAAGTCGGATAGAACTGACAACTATTTTGTCTCTTTGGATAAATAGTAGCTCCAAGAAGACAAATAACATGTCATGTATTTCTTTGGTATCTACTCATTAATACCTATCACAATACAAGGCCCATGTTGTTGTTATGTGCCGTCAGTCAGACCCGACCCATAGTGACCCCTCCTTGGGTTTCCAAGGCAGTATCACTACGGAAGTAGATTGCTCCATCTTCCCTCCGAGGAGTAGCTGGTGGGCTTGAACCGCCAGTCTTCTGGTTAGCAGTCAAGTGTCTTAGGCACTATGCTACCAGAGCTCCCCAGAAGGCCTGTAAGCGTAAAAATACTTCTCATATTTGAGAATACAGTGATTATTTTGTTATATGTTTAACAGTAAATGATTCATTTTTTTAAAAACCTGAGAACTACTTTAGAAGCCTGTTTTATTTGCTAGACATAATTTTTGCTATTTGAAAGCAAAATTAGCATAAACATGAAGTTACAGGCGCTTGTGTGTGCAGTGGTAAAGGCATTTGGCTGCTAACCAAAAGGTTGGTGGTTCCCACCAACTGCTCCTCAGGAGAAAGACAAGGCAGTGTGATTTACAGCCTTGGAAACCATATGCGGCCATTTACTCTGTCCTGTAGGGTCACTATGAGTTGGAAGCAATCAGTAGCAGTGTCTTTTTTTTTTTTTTTAAATAGCCAAATGAGTGTGTTTTTAATGAAATGGTTAATAATTGGAACTCTTTATATTGACTATTAAATAGTCTTGTAATTGGAATAACTTTCCAAGGTGCAAGTGCTGGGTCACTGTTTCCTGAACTTGACTAAACATAACAATCATCTGGAGTCCTTATAAACATGTATTTCCAGTCCTTAATCAAGCCTCCTAAATGGGATCTCTAAGAGAATAGCCTGAGAATCTGTTTTGTTTTTTCTTTCTTCCATTCAAAACCCAGGTGATTTTTATGAGAGACAATTTTAGGTGACGCTGGTGTAGATAATGTATTTTCTTTTGGAAGAGTCAACTGGATTTCTGTAGGCAAAATATTTTAATCTAGCTATTCATATTTCTTTGCCTTATTTCTAAAACACTTCAGGCCTGAGGACTTGCGCCGTGAGTTTGGTCGATATGGCCCTATAGTAGACGTTTACATTCCACTTGACTTCTACACTCGCCGCCCAAGAGGATTTGCTTATGTTCAATATCCTTTCTTTTACTGTGTGCATGTGAATGTGCTGCATACATGTGCATATACATGTATGTATTCAGGAATATATGTTATGAGATTAATATTGCCTAATTAAATGTGTTTATTTCTTTATCTCAGAAAATCTAAAGCAGTCCACAGTAGCTGGCAAGCGTCCCCCAGTTTGAACCAACCTGTTAGCTAGAATCCAAGCATAACCTGAGCAGGCAAGACAAAACGCACCTAAAGTTCAAGCATCAAGGAGTAAACAGGGAGGGTGGACACAGATATAAAGACCTGGAAGAGGGGAAGTCTTTATCAAGCAAAAGAAAAAGGCAACACCAGGTTGAGACTTCGGCTTTCCTACATATACTCAGAGTTCCAGAGTCAAAGCCAAGTCTGATTTTGTTGTTTCTGCATCTGTTATAAAGTCCATCTTGCAAGCCTTAAAGAGTAAAGGTCAAGGTTCAAGATCAAGTGACACTGAGGTAATTTTGTATTTCTAGAGCTTTTTGTCTTCTATTATTTAAAAAAATTAAACCAGTGAACAGCCTCCTGAAAATAGTTAGTCATTTTATATAGCTAATTTCCATTATAGTTAGAAGGTCTAATATTATATAATTTATGTAGAAAAGGGGGAGCTTTAACAGTGTATTATAAACCAATACATATAATTCCATGTTTGCCCATTACTTTCAAGTTTCTTTTATACTTATATCCCAAGTGGTAAAAATATAAAGGTATTTTTAAAGTGAGCAATTTTGAAAATACTTTAGATCACTTAAGTGTGTACAGTTTTATTTATAATAAATCATTTTTCTTAAATGTCATAATTAAAGCCTTTTAATGAAAGAGTAATTTTAATTTCAGAATAGAGGCTTCTGCATGCTGATTTTTCAGTGAAAAACCTGATGGATCCTTTACCTGAAAGAAGGGAGTGAATCCTAAACAGTTTATTTTATAATACTAGCATTGTTGGAATTACTGCTTATAGCATTTCAAATTTAACATGCAGCCTGCAGCTACATTAATGTATATATTAAAAATACAGTCACATATTTATTTGTTTTTATTTTTAGATTCATTTTAAATCATAATGGGGCATGCTTTCATAATAAAAAGTAAGTTTTTGTCTGATTTTTCATATTATAATGGAGATTGTGAGTTGTTTTTCCTGTTAATTTCATTTCCCATCTGAATAATAGTTTTAAAATGCTGTTTTTACTTGATATATGATGTTCAAAGTGTCCTTAACAGCTAGTCATATTTGAAGATGTTCGTGATGCTGAAGATGCTCTTTATAACCTTAATAGAAAATGGGTATGTGGCCGTCAAATTGAAATACAGTTTGCACAAGGTGATCGCAAAAGTAAGTGTGACTAAATGTTAAATTTTGTTTATTCAGCAGAAAGACAGTTTCAGCAGTGACAGATTTTTTATTTAAAATTCCTTTTAAAAATGATAGACTATACTAGTTGAGTAACTACTGTTGAGGTTTTCCAGTGATGAATTTTGTTACAAGTCTTGTTCGTTATATTCTAGCACCAGGCCAAATGAAATCAAAAGAACGTCACCCTTGTTCTCCAAGTGATCACAGGAGATCCAGAAGTCCTAGTCAAAGGAGAACTCGAAGTAGAAGTTCTTCCTGGGGAAGAAACAGGAGGCGGTCTGATAGCCTTAAAGAGTGAGTACAAAATACAATGAGATTGCAAACTTCTTTTTCTGAAGAACGTTTTAAAGGGTCTTTTAAAGACAGGCTACCTGAATCATGTTGTTTAATATGAACTGTTACAGAAAGATAGGCTCTTCTCTATTATGTGTTGTTATTTAACTTGGGTTCATTGGATACCTTCCAGTGTTTTTATTTCATGATAGATGTAATTGGAAGGTATTATTCACTGAATAAAAAGTAAAAAAATATGTACTGGACAAATAGAGTGGAACTTTGGATAAATAAAATTTTTCCTAAATGAACATAAAAATTCAGACTCTTGATTCTGATAATGGCTAAACTCATAAGAAATATGGGATAGTCACTTATGATAGAAGGTTGATTTAAATTAATGTAAGTTTATTTACTTATAAAAGGTAAATTATCAAAAATAAATTTCAAGTATGACAATATTATAGGAAGAAGACATTAAAAACTATAAATTTAGGGGGAAGAGATACTTGCAAACTATCAAATATCTTGCTAACTGGGAGTTTGTTTATATTAGAATAATGTTGTTGTTATGTGCCCTCAAGTCAGACCTGACTCATAGTGACCCCTCCTTGCGTTTCCAAGGCAGAAGCTGTTGAGATAGTAACTAAAATTTAGTAGCATGCCCAAAATCTTAAACATTTACAGTATTTATCCTGAGTTAATATTATCATTGTTTTGTAGGCATGTAAAATTTTAAGGTGAATTTTCTTTTTAAAGAATAATTAGCATTTATACCAATATCCTAGTTCTTCTAGCTCTCTGAGTAAAAGGATCAGGTGTCCTGGACAATACACCTAAGCTAGAAGGGCCCACATAGCTTATATCAAAGTTAATCACTAGGGCTGCTCCCTTTCACTTTCCACCCCTCCATTCTTCATCTGTCAGTCCCCAGACATGAAAAAGCCTAATAAAAATAAAATTGTGTGTGTGTGTATGAAGCTTATGTGCCACAGTGCCTAAGGCCTTTGACTGCTAACCAAAAGTTGGCAGTTCAAACCTATCAGCCACTCCACAGAAGGAAAATGGGACAATCTACTTCCATAAAGATTTACTGCTTCAAAAACCCTGTGGGGTTCGCTATGAGTCAGAATCAACTCAGTGGCAGTGGGTTTGGTTTTTGTTTTGGCGTATATATAGGTAGTTAGAGGGTCTTTGCCCTAAGTCCCTAACTCTGAAAACAAGACAGTGAAGTGGCCTGGTTCCTACTCATCTAGCCTAGTGGAAAGGAAATAGGAAAAAAGAACCATGCTTATGTTCTTTGACTTTTTAATATTCAAGAATCCTGATTGCTAGAAAATATATGAATCAAAATTCTTTGACTTTGGCCTATCCTGGAGGAGGTATGGGAGCTCTGGTGGTATAGTGCCTAAGGCATTTGACTGCTAACCAGAGGGCTGCTAGTTCAAACCCACCAGCCACTCCTTGGAAGGAAGATTGGGCACTCTACTTCCATAGCGATACCACCTAGGAAACCCAAGGAGGGGTCAGATCTGACTCCATGGCAGTGAATTTGGTATTTGGTTTTTGAGAAGGTATGAATGTAGGTGGAAGCCTTAAGTTCCTATTAGAAGCCTAGGGAGCCCTAGGTCAAGATTGGGCTATTACCTGGATTGGTAAAGAAATTTTCAGAAACAGCTATAGCATACTCTGGGACATAATTCTTTTTATTATACATTCTCCTATGGTGTAAAAATATTAAACTCCTCTGGGATCTTATGACAAATAATCCAGTTTCCCCCTTGACTGAGGATGAGCCATTTTTCCATTGATTGTCTATTTGAGGTTTAGACTATGATACTTAGTTTCTGTACTCATATACAAAATTATATTTATAGAACTTAAGATGTAGTGAGACCAAACTTGATGTTTTTTTTGTTTTCGTTTTTTAATTTACATGCCCTGAATACAGGGAAACAGCATCGATACCAATTATAATCCTCTGGCTTCACAGAGGACATAAATATTATAAGGGAGTGAAGTTTAACAGTTCAGATTACTATTAATAGCTAATATAGAGTAGTTTTGTGTGTGTGTGTAATCAAGTTTAATAGAAGTTTAGTGATGTGACTGTTTCATGTAAAATGAATGGTTTAATATATATATCACGGTAGATGTAATCTTGTGCCTAAGCAACACTGTACTTACTGAACAATATTTACTGACCTTGGTACAAAAAAGACTTAGCTTGCAAAAGAAAATGATCGTTTTGATTGACTAATAATTTGTTTCTAAATGCATTAGGATCTTAATCAGTTTTTTTCCTAAATAATCTATAACGGGTAGCTGTTCACATCATTTTTTGCCTTCTAGTAGAGGAGCTCTGGTAGCGTAATGCCTAAGGCACTTGACTGCTAACCATAAGGCTGGCGGTTCAAACCCACCAGCCACTCCTCAGAAGGAAGGTTGGGCAATCTATTTCCATAATGATACTGCCTCAGAAACCCAGGGAGGGGTTGCTATGAGTCGGGCATTTGACTGCTAACCAGAGGGCTGCTAGTTCAAACCCACCAGCCACTCCTTGGAAGGAAGATTGGGCAAAAAACAACAACAACAACAGTGGAAGTAAAGTATAATAGCTTGGCTAGAGAAAAATAAAAAAGTGACAGTTGTTCCAGATCATCATGGGGTAGCAGGATAGTAAGGACTGTATCTTGCAAAACTGCTCTACTTTGTACTGGTTATAAGACCATTGACAAATTACTGAACCTCTCTGACCCCAGTTTTTCTAATTTATAAAAGTGCAATAGATAATGCATATCTTACCTAGTTCACAAGAATTTATAAGGATCAGATTTTTTTGTGTGTGTATGTGTGTGTGTATATATACAGATATTTATATATAAATAAATATATGTTGTACTACCTTGGACTAGAAGAAGGTCTCATTTTGCCCTCAGTGGATGTAGAAAAAAAGCTAGTTTGTTGAATGGCAAGGATATTTGTCTAATTCATGCTTATAGTCCTAGCACTTAGCAATAGTCCCTAGCTTATTTAGGTGTTTCATAAATCTTTGTTGAATTTATGTCAATTAATATATGTATAAATATATTATACTCTAAATGTTCTTGAACAATGTTAAAATTATCTCTTAGCCTTTTCAGTGCAAATGTAGCATCTAGTTTTTTTGTTTTCTTTTTTTTGTTGTTACATTATTTCAGAGATGATTTTCCTAAATTGTTTTATATTTTAACAAGAGTAAAATTTAATAATTTAATAAATTTAATAATTTCTAAAAGTTTTTTTTTTAATTCCAGAACAGATGTGGTTAATAGAGAAGCAAAATTCTTTCTTTCTTTTTTTTTTAGATACATTCACAGAGTTGTGTAACTATCAGCATGATCAATTTTAGAACATTTTTTTCATACCCAAAATAAACTCTGTATCCATTGGCACTCAACTCTGCTTTTCTCCTAATTGTCCCAGCCTAGGTACTCACTACTTTTTTTTTTTTCAATTTCTTGCAATGGGATTAACTCTTTTCTGTTATAGGAAAAGAGCTGGAGAGCAAAACTACTCAGATAAGTTATCTTAGCTAACTCTCCTTCACTTGATGTGGAGGGAAAGGTATTACTTAATTCAGTATAAAGTTTGTTATTCCAAGTTCTTCCAAGTGGTTTTTCAACTGGCTCAGTATATTTATTTCTAGTGTTCATTGTTTTTTCCTGTCAGTCTTTACTTCTATTTGGGATCATTTTTCTTAAACCTAAAGAATTCTCTTTAGGAGCTCTGGTAGCATAGTGCCTAAGGCACTTGACTGCTAACCAGAAGGCTGGCGATTCAAACCCACCAGCCACTCCTCAGAAGAAAGGTTGAGCAATCTACTTCTGTAGTGGTACTGTCTTAGAAACCCAAGGAGGGATCACTATGCGTCGGATCTGACTCAACGGCAGTGAGTTTGGTTTTCTGGTATACCATTTTTCTTCCGAGGAGTGGCTGGTGGATTTGAACTGCCAGCCTTCTGGTTAGCAGTCAGAGGGTTTTTAGGCACTATGCCACCAGAGCGCCCACATTATTTATATAAGTTCCTGAAAATGTTGCAATGCCTATTAACTGTTTCTGTGTGAAATACATGCCCTAATATTATGGATGTTTGCAGGTCTCGACACAGACGATTTTCTTACAGCCAATCTAAATCTCGTTCCAAATCACTACCAAGGCGGTCTACCTCAGCAAGGCAATCAAGAACTCCAAGAAGAAATTCTGGTTCTAGAGGACGATCAAGGTCCAAGTCCTTACAAAAAAGGTCCAAGTCAATAGGAAAATCACAATCAAGTTCACCTCAAAAGCAGACTGGCTCAGGAGCAAAATCAAGATCACATGGAAGACATTCTGACTCCATAGCAAGATCCCCATGTAAATCTCCCAAAGGGTACACCAATTCTGAAACTAAAGCACAAACAGCAAAACATTCTCATTTTCGATCACATTCCAGATCTCGGAGTTACCGTCATAAAAACAGTTGGTGAACAGCAACAGAAGAGCACTACTATAGTCTTTAATATGTTACTAAGCCTCTCCTTATGTTAAATAAAAATTCTTCAAGGCTTACAGAAAATGTGAGTTGATACTAGTTTTGTGCATATGCAAGAAATAAAGTAACTGTAGATTTGGTTTCAGCTTAAGAGCCCACACCATAAATTATGTGTTTGATATCAACAATTTCATGGACCTTTTTTTTATGTTGTTGTAGAGGGTACTTTTCAAAAGAAATGGGTAAAATGGAGCCAATTTAGAAAATTCTACTTGGATATTAAATATTAGTAATATTAATTATGTGTTTTACAAAAATATTTTGGACTTTTGCTTTCATGTGAAAAATAATTACAATTATAATTTGCACAGAGCAGACTTAAAATTATTTGACACCTTATGTCTGTTTTGAATCTTCTATTTAAACTTGGGCCGATTTCTGTTGAATGTTAGTTTATCATACAAAATACTAATATCAAAGTAGAATAAATATAGATACCAAGCATTCATAAGATACATTGTCTTAGCTCAAAAAAGATTTTATTGGGTGGAACAGCATAGACAAGTTCACATTAAATTGCATTCTGTACCATGCTTATTTTAGAAATGTAAAAGCTTTTTAGAAATATTGGATTTTGGATGGTTTAAGACCAGTTCTCAAAACTTACAACAGTGTGCAACACTCACAATCCAAAAATATTCATGTTAAGCCTTATATATTTGCAAAGTGGTACATTTTATATAAAATCATATTTTATAACATTATTTCTACATACCTACTTTTCATCTGTTGCTAATTATTTTTGTTTTAGAGCTCTAGATCAAGACTGAATTGTATATAATAAGTTTCATTATTATTTTTGAAATAGTGTTTAGTACCTTGTATTATGAAACTTGAGACTGCATCTTCAAAAAACACCTTTCCGGTATTTGGATTTTATGTTACATTTCCCTTAATTTTTTTAAACCAAATCACTTGCTGATATTTATTGCTTTTTCTAGTTGTTATAACTGAGAACTTTCTTTAAAAATGTGTTTGTAGTTTATGTTTTACAGAGAGAGTTTTGGTAGTATTTGTGATAAAATGGTTTTTGCATATGATTATTATAGGGGATATATTTATAGAATTCTACTTGTGTACCTTGTTGAATTATATTCTTGAAACTTAAGAGTTCTCAGCTCAGACAGTTAACATTTATATCTAGAGTGCTTAAGAAAAGAAAATCTTTTACATTTTTTAGCATAATGAAGCAAGTATTGCTTCTATTTGTTTTGAATGCAGATTCCTTTTTCGTTTGCATTTTAGATCCTATATGTAAGAAACAACTTTTTAAAATAATTTGTACACTGGTAATATTTGGATAAGTACCGTAAATTCATGTAGACTGTACTTCATGAATAGAATTCTCTATTTAATCATAGCAAAATTTATTTCAAAACTACAAGTCTTTGGAATGTTCAGCTCTAAGAAAATTTAATTATAAAATTATGTGGCACTATTGAAAACATAAAGGATAGTCACGAAAAAGCAAGACATTAATGTTTGGGTGTATACATGTATATGCAGTAATTCTGTATAATAACTAGGAATTGATTATAGTGTCTTTATTCTGCATTAACAAATTAGTATCTTAGTAAAATGTTAATATGGCAATGTTTCTGAATATGTTTAATCCTACTATTTACCTCTGACTTGATTTTCTGTTGTAATGCTGAGGCTGCTTAAGAGGATAATACTTGTTTTGATGAGAAAGAGGATAATACTTGTTTTGATGAGAAAGCTGGAATAATAACTCAAATTTTGCTGCGCCTTTACAATGTGCTTGGCGCTCTATAGGTTTATGTTACTTATTCACTTATTTCATCATTACAACAACTTTATAAGAAATACTGTTACTGATGAGGAAACTCTATAGTTATATGTATGAGGTCACATAGCCATTAAGTTTTGGAGCTGCAGGGAGCAGACCTCCGATGTGCCCCTCCCTAACTACTATGTCTTGTAGGAAGGAAAAAAGTCTTTGACAGATACATGCTTATTTAAGGAAGCCTAGTAGCACAGTGGTTAAGCACTCAGCTGCTAACTGAAAGGTCGGTGGTTCAAACCCACCAGCCTCACCACAAAAGAAAGATGTGGCAGTCTGCTTCCATAAAGATTACAGCCTTGGAACCAGCCCTATGGGGCAGTTCTGCTCTGTTCTACAGGGTCACTATGAGTCAGGATCGACTCAGTGGCAACAAATAAGATAATGTTCAGAGGGAAAGGGGAAAATAAAATTAGAAAAAGAAATGACTATAGGTTTCAGTGAAAATGGGGTCTGTGACTCTAGGTGAAAATTGATTGGCAGTTGTGCTTGGTACCTTGGAAAGTTGTCTTTGGGGAATATATGTATTCTAGTGTTCTGTTTTGTGTCTTGGACGATTTGAGAGAGGATACTTAGGCTAAAATTGCCTTTTAAAGCAAATAGTTTTATTTATACATCTGTTATTATTTCTTTTAAAGAATTTGTGTTTACATAGGTACTTCCCAAGTTTAATGTACCTACTTCCATTTGTTCAAGATTACAGAGGGTAAATTAATATCAAAGAAAATAAAGATGGCCACTATCAGCTGCTTCTGCTTTCTTTCTCCCTGTGAATAATGCACAAATTTTGTTTGGCATGAAGGCTAGAGTTGTGTTTTGCGGCTGGTAACAGATAATGGGAGAATTTGCTGCAGATTTTATTTGGAGCCTAGTATTTAATCTTGTGTTTCTAGGCTGACTTGTGGGGATGTGGTGGTAGAGAGGAAATTCTTAGTATTTTTATTGTAAACCAGTGGTTCCCACCTCTTTTTTTTTTTTTTTTTTAAACATGTCACCCATGAAAGGGATGGTGGTTGACAGGGAACACTCCCATGATTACCCACAATGCCAAAGCTGAGATTTTACCCCTTTCTTTCCCACCCAAGGTGGCATTTTAGGTTACATGCAGTTGAGAGTGTTGCTGTTGTAAAAGAATAACTTTATTTGCTCTAAAAATACAAGTTATTCACTGATTTCAGGACTTTAAATATTATTTGTGATGGTTGAAATAGAACTGTTGAAGATACACATTGCGTTACAAGTAAATGGCTAAGAATTGCTGCCTTTAGTCTGATCCTATTGCGATAGGCAAAATTAGTTAAAATTTAAAGGAAGTTGTATTTGGAAATACTTTTATAATTCTTCTAAACCACATTAAAATTGTAAATTCTTACTTACAGTTTAAAAGATTTTTTTTCTCCAAATAGAGTGATAGAATATTTAGGTTGCTTGCATAGATCAATATATGCTGCATATGCAGGCAGCATGATTGGGTGCAGAAGATCTTACTCTAGCATTATGTCTGAGCCTTTTGAAGTTAAATCCCAAACTGATGTTTGCGGTTGTCAAAAGAAAGAGTATGTACGTAGTTTTGTCAGATTTTCAAACAAGTCCATGGCTTCCAAGGGTTTCAAGACCACTAGTTCAGTGATACATATATGGATTTGAAGTCAACTCGGTTTTATTTCCACACACCTATTTACTAGCCGTGCAACCCTGGGAATCTTTGAGACTCACTTTCTTCATCTGTAAAATGTGTATATATCTGTCCCATAAAGTTGGTTCCAAAAACCAAACTCACAAACTCATAGAGTTTTTAGGTTTTTTTAAAAAAAAAAAAAAAAAATCCAGCACAGTACCAAGTGTAGGGTAAGCATTTAGTGTTAATTTTCTTTTATTTAGATATGTAGTTGATTAGAAAAAGTTTCCTAAGTACTTAATGTGGATTATGTATTTTAGCGTCACTCCCTTGATGAAAATAGGATGAAGAGGATCATAGCATTAATTTTGGCACCGGTATGTCAGATCTTGATTTAGGCACCCTGGAAATTTTGTATTATGTACATCTTTAAAAAGATGCTCATAAAATTAAGCGAATTAATACAATGATAATTGAGTCAAATACCCTTTCAGAAATTTAATTGTCTCTCATAGAAATGTTAGATATTCCAAGTTGGTTCCTCTTGCTTAAGTTACTTAAAATAATTAAGACAAGTACCATTTTTTTTATCTAAAGGAATCCTGTGAAAAGTTGAATAAAAATTAAATATGCATAGATGATCATGACCAGTAGTCATATTTTGAGAAAAAGAGTATCTCAATTTTTTATTCTGTTTTAAGGAAAGGATTAATGATTAGTCTTTCTTGACTGATATTCTAGGAATATACCATAACTCTGAACTTGTGAAAAGAAATAGTATAAACTTGTGGAGGTAGATGGACACTCAGTGAGTTGTTGGTTACATTTTTTAAAAGTACTATGTGATTATTAAGTTATATGACTGGTTTCATTATGCAGAAATATGTACTCAGCCAAGATTTGTTGGTTTATAAACTAGTAAATAAATTACAAAGTAAAATCAAGGAGAATATCCTTACTGTATATTAGGAAAATTACTGATTTTTTTAGGTTATTTCAGAATGATGGTGGAAAATTTAAATAGTCTTTTAAGATGAGAGAATTCCTAATCAATAATAAATATTTATTCTTAGAAATAGATTGATTACATGTCGACTGCTTTATCTTTTGTGTATTTCAGCTTGTTTAAGATGAGTAAGTAGTTCCTTCAAAATAGTGTAATTGAAACGTGATGCAAAAATACAACCTCAGTCTAGGAATATAATTCTATTAACAAAACAACAAACTACCATATCCAAATAGCTTCATAAAGGACTGTAGAGGTAGAATGAGGAATGCAATGACCTGTTGTACTAAAGAAGCATTCTGGTTTTCTTAGCAGTTGACTTTAATTTCAACACAAATCTCCATATAAAATAGTCCTCCAAGTCCCAGTTGATAGCCTACTTATTTTAGTAGTAAGAACATTTTAATAGTTTTTGGTATGTATGTGGGTGTATGTGTCTGTGTGGGGGGTTGTGATAGTTAAGTTGGTGTGTCAACTTGGCTGGGTCTCATTGAGTGGCTAGGCAGC